TGAAGTGTAGTGTAGAGAGTGTAGTGCAGTGTAATTTAGTGTAGTGGACTGTAGTGGACTGTAGTGGACTGTAGTTGTAGTTGTAACCTGTAGTGTTGTGAAGTGTAGTGTAATGTAATGTAGTGTAATGTAGTGTAGTGCAGCAAAGTGTAGTGTCATGTAGTGTAGTCGAGTTAAGCGAAGCAACATCTGAACCGCCAAAAGTGGTCCGAAACCCTAGTGTTTTTTACATGTTAACTTCCAAATCTGCTTCGCGCCACAACGGCGTGCACTTTTTCGAAACTCGACATCTCAGCCTCCAAAAGTGGTCCGAACATGGTGTGGTTTGTACATTTTGACTTCGAAATGTGCTTCGCGCCACAGCGGCGTGCACTTTTTCGAAACTCGACCTCTGAGCCTCCAAAAGTGGTTCGAACCCCTGGTGTTTTGGACATTTTGACTTCGAAATGTGCTTCGTGCCACAACGGCGTGCACAATTCGAAACTCGACCTCTGAGCCTCCAAAAGTGGTCCGAACCCCTAGTGTTTTGTACATTTTGACTTGAAATGTGCTTCGCGCCACAACGGCGTGCACTTTTTCGACATCTTAAGTGCCAAAAGTGGTCCGCACTTGGTGTGCTTTCTACATTTTGACTTGGACATGTGCTTCGCGCCACAACGGTGTGCACTTTTTCGACATCGCAACTTCCAAAAGTGGTCAGACCCTGGTGTGTTTTGTACATTTTGACTTGGGGATGTGCTTCGCGCCACAACGGCGTGCACTTTTTTGACATCTGAAGCGCCAAAAGTGGTCCGATCCTCTGGTGTTTTGTGCATTTTGACTTGGAAATGTGCTTCGCGCCACAACGGCGTGCAATTTTTCATGTCTCATCTCCCCATATGTCTCCGCACCCGCCGCTTTAGCGAGCCTACTTTTCGACCCTCCGGAACCACAAATCATTGGAAAAAACACAGTGAATCGCGACTTTCCTACCTTTTCGCGCATCTGCATCTTCTTTCTTCTGACCCTTTCTCTTCTGAACTTTCTCTTCTCTCTGCCTCTGCCCTGCTCTGCTTTTCATCTGTCCATATTGTCGGAAGTTTAGCTTCTCAACTTCCTTCGACAATATAGTTAAAGATATGTATCTATATAAATATATATATATACACATAATAATTCCATGATATATATATCCATATATACTAAATAATCTCAATATACATATAGATTCGTATATATATATATATATATGCATACTCTACCCAGCAATTGTGGGATATTGCGCTTTGGCTAGTGGTTGCCGAAGCATAATCGCTGCCCCTTGCTCAGCATATCTAGATCATTTTGTGGATTTTCCGCAAGGGTTCCTCCAAGATATTCTCTTCAACCAAAAGACTTCGCTAATGACATTTCAATATGTTTCATATATATGTATATTCGTATATATATAGTTATCATGTATAATAACTAGAACACCTATAATGACTAGAATTACTATAATAACTAGAACATAATTATCACAACTATATTGAACCCCCCCTTCGATTCCCCCAAGGTCCGCCTCTAAAGCCGCGTTTGCAAGAAGTCACCCCGCGGGCCCACTTTTTGCACCAAGATTCCAGCACCAGGATAGCCCTAAGTCAGTTGCTTTGGGTACATGCTGGGGTCAAAACACCACGTTTGTGAATCCCACACTGTTCTACACATGTACACACCAGAATCAACCCCATCCGCGTTGCAACAATGTGCTGCCCCCAGTTACACGTTGCCTCGCAAACCCCATAACCTGATATTTATACATATATCTAACTATATGTATGTATTTATATATATATATATGTCTGTGTGTCTGTGTGTGTGTCGTGTCCCCCCTCCCTGAAACCTCCCTTTTTGGTACCCGCCCTCGAGTCCAAGCCCAGAAGATTTTTTTCGATATCCGCCCCAACTCCACCCACGTCCGTCCGCAGCGGATATGCCTCGTTCCCTTGCTCTCTTCTCCTGTTCCAACCCACGCCTACCTTTCGATCTTTCACCCTTCCCTCTCAAGTGTTTAGGATGCTTTTGGCCTTGGGAGCTCGGGGTGCAAATGTGGAAGCAGGTCCGTGCATCTTTTTCCGACAGGTTTGGGTCATGTTCAGGGCATGGAAGTTTCATGCTTTGGTCTTTCACCATGTCTTCTAGACACTTTGGCCCAATAACCTTCCAAAAAGTGGAGAGTTGACAATCCATCTACCCACAGCGGTCCATTGCGTTGATATCTTGTACCTATTCACAGAGTCCGCGTTTGGTGTGCTAACTCCTAGGCCTAGTTCTTCTATTATTTCCCAGTGGTAAATTACTGTAAAGCAAAGGAACAGCTCGTCTACTATCTATTTCAATATGATTCCATCATATTCCGTCATATTCCATCATATTCCATCATATTCCATCTATTATTCCGATATTCCATCTCAATGGAATAGCTATCAATGATTCCATGGATTTTCCATGGATTTTCCATGGATTCCCTCTCAACTGGAAACTTCCGCCACGTCCATGGCTACGAGGTCTCCGGATCGCTGTCCGATTGGGGCATCCACTGTGGCATTTGGGCGGTGAATCGCACCGGCCTTCTCAGTTTTTCGGTACGCTGGACGGGACAGACGGGGGGTTCAAAGATACCCTGGTGGCCAGAAGCAACTGTGATTATATATATATACTATAAATATATTTATATATACACATAATATCATATATATATATATACACACTATATTTTGATATCTATATATATATATATATATGGTGTACATACCAAAATTGCACATTGCATGAGTGATGTGGAATTATGATGAATTACTTGCTCACCTTACTTTTGTATGCTTATGTGATCATTGACAGACCGTGAATCAGTCAGTTAACCCTTCTTTCTGATACTGTTGTCATCATTGACAGCCCGTGAGCCAGTAAAGTATGTGAATAAGCTGCCATTTCTTGGCTTATCCCATTATAACATATTATAACCTCCACAAACTCAAAACAGAGATCCACATAGATTCACCTCTTAGGAGGGGTGACCTTGGTTGTGTCTGGTACGTTAGCCTGTTGATTTCTGGGAAACATGGTTGATTTCCCCATGGATTCCGCCGCCCAAGGCTACAAGTTGCTACCCTGGTGGGTACCGAACAACACCCTAGGCTTGGAGAATCGAGATTTGATGCTGAGTTTCGGCATGTTTGCAACTGGAAAACCCTAGGCCACGGCCACTTGTGGCAGCATAGTAGGTCAACAGGTTTGAGTATTTGTGTTCATCATTCACCAATGGTATTGATGAATTTTCACAGCTTACCACGTTTACCACATTCTTTTCGCATGGTAATCACCACATTTATTGGCGATTTTCAGGGATGAAACCGCCGCTGAAAAATCCGTCAGAACTGGCAGGCATTGGGCTCTACTCAGATTTCATGTCCCTGCTGGTCCCAGGGCTGAAACACAAACACCCAGCCACTTGGTTGACTTGGTCGGTGCATCCCTGACATCGTCAGCGGGCAATAGGCATACTCCAGATTATATATATACATACATACATATTTATACATATATATATACATATGTATATATATATATGATGTTTATACATATATGTACATATATATATATATATGATGTTTATACATATATGTACATATATATATATATATACATATATATATATACATACTGTGTATGGAATATCCTCAGTAGATATGGATTATAAACCACTTACAGATATGGGATGCACATCCAAGTAGTAGTCCAGTGGAGAATCTACGTATGGTTGTCCACTCCGGTCACTCACGTGTCTGGAAAGGGTTGAAGCTGCCAACCAGCAGACTTGGAGTGGGGTACAGGTCCAAAAATGAGAGAGATTGGAATCCCATAGAGTAGATTTCAATAAAGGTCCCAAGATTGATCCAGATGATTCCTTCTTTGAAATTGGAAGTGGAAGATCAATTTCAAAGGCGACAACTAGAAGGAATTCCCATTCAACAAGACCTTCTCCTGGATGGTACGGGAAGAGCATCAGTATGCTTGCAAAAGCGCATCAATGCTGCCGCATTCACTCAGTCAAACCTGAGGAGACCTCTTCTCGAATCATTTGAAGGCACTGTACATGATGATCATGCACTTACTCCCTCCCACATTTAGTGAATGTAGATGAATGTAGGATACACAGAGCCCTTCAAAGATACTCGTAGAACTGTGCCCATGCTTGTGTGTTATAAGTTATAAGTATTTGTTTTTCAGTCTACTATTTTTTGACACATGTTCTCTGCCTAGGCGCAAGTTAAGAATGGAGTATCAATGGACCCACTAAACTTTTTCCGGCCTATAGACCCCTATAGACTATCAAATTTTGAGTCACTATGTTCTATTTGGGATCAAATGAATTCAAATCATCTCTTTTTGCGAAGCCTCATTCCTATTCATTCCTGAGATAGACATTGGCAGACCACGAGAGACCTCGAACTCGCAACTCGCGCCGCTGAGTACAACAAACGGAACTATCCGCTGGAGATGACGTTGATGCCTTTGCCAACACCTTCCTTCAAATTTGAATCAGGCCCGGCGGCTGGGTCAGCCAGAAGCCTGACTTTGGTGGAATTTATTGTGCTGATCGGGGTGGCAGATATACACGGAACATCATATCTGGTTGGTGGCTTGGAACATGAATTTTAGTTTTCCATATATTGGGAACAATCATCCCAACTGACTTCCATATTTTTCAGAGAGGTAGGTATACCACCAACCAGATGATCATTTGCTGTGCTGTGCTAACGGAATCTAAGAATCTAAGATAGAATGAATTTTCCACGCCCCTTTTTCCTTTCATGTCGGGGAGTCGTGACCTGCAGCCAGGCTATATGTACTTAGTCGTTTCTTGGCAGCGAAGCAGAAAACAAGGCTGAAAAGATACAGTAGCTGGATGAATGGATAGATAGGTAGATGGATAGATAGGTAGATATACATATAGATATTGTAGATATATAGATATTGTAGATATTGTAGAGATATATAATATAGATATTGTATATATACATAGATAGATAGATAGATAGATAGATAGATAGATAGATAGATAGATAGATAGATAGATAGATAGATAGATAGATCGATCGATAGATAGATAGATAGATAGATAAATAATTAGATAGATGCATAATTAGATTAGATTAGATTAGATTAGATTAGATTAGATAAGATAAGATAAGATTAGGTAGATAGATAGATAGATAGATAGATATATAGATAGATAGATAGATAGATAGATAGATATATAGATAGATAGATAGATAGATAGATAGATAGATAGATAGATAGATAGATAGATAGATATATGATTAGCTTAGCTTAGCTTAGCTTAGCTTAGCTTAGCTAGATAGATAGATAGATAGATAGATAATTAGATTAGATTAGATAAAATAATATAAGATAAGATTAGATAAGATTTGATAGATAGACAGATAGATAGATATACAGATACATAAAAAAACGTTGATTGCAACAATCCTGAACATGTGGGGCTTTGGGTCAAAAGCGTGTTGCTGCCATGAGTTTTCACCTGAAAACAGTATCACGTAGCAGGTTCAAAACATTGAATTTGTTACTCTGAAATCACTATGGTTCTGATGTAAAGAAGCCAGTATCCACAGGGCGGAGTATCCAAGAAAACCTCCTGGGGTAGTTTTGAGAAACCAGGATTACTGTATTGAAGCCCTGCTCTACGAATAGGTGTAGTCGGTGGTCCCCAAACTAGTGACAATTCCATTTGAAGTTTTCTCAACATGGGAGACAGGCGATTCTTGCGTCCCTCAGTTTAGGACACAACCATGTTCTTGGTGTATAGATATATTGTAGTAGAAGGTAAACTGAGGCTTTGTTGTGTTTCATTAATCCTGGGTTGACGTTATAAAGTGATACCATTATACTCGACATTTGAGTCGCCGATCTTGTTCTCCTTCACGACTTTGCTGACGAAGTCGGGGAAGCGTCGCTTTGCTGATGTTGGGATTGGGTGGATGTTGGATCACAGAGGAGGATGTTACCCAGAAATCTACAGGGAATACTTAATACTGCAAATACTTCAATTTTTTATTCAAAACCAATAAAGACGGCTCGGGGTCATGGGCCCAGGTTAGTAGTTGTTTATTTTAGGCAGAGTTTGGTTGATAACATGTGATACTGTAACCGTTGGTTATGCATGGGATATACTTGCCAGGGCCTCAACGGAATCAAGGTCAAAATGGGTCAAACTTGGAGGAATTTGGATGCTGCAAGGTCGTGGTATCAGTGCAGTTCGTTTGCCAAATTGGTATATACATAACCATACATAATCTATATATATATAAATATTCACGAGGTTTTATGGTAGATATGGCTCTAGTCGCTGGTATAATCCAACTTGCACCTAGTCAAGGGCAAGACCTTCTGGATGGCAATCCTGGGCAGTCTTGATCCATACCTGTCGCCATCAATTCAATGCCCATTTTGTGTTGGAAACTCAACATGCCTACAGAACTTCTACAATTTCAGCGATTTCAGCGCGAAATGCCACTTAACAGTTACAAGTCAGTAAGTCACTCCATGTTTTTTTGAATGACCCCATTTTACATCATTATATATACCACATTATACCATATCAAAAAACCCAATTGGAATCATTTATAACAGCTTTCTGGGGCTGAAAAACTGTGGGGAACTTCCCATCCCTTTTTTTCCCGCTGAGGCGAGTTTTGCTTTAGCTTTATCGCTGACGTCCATGCGCAGGGCTACCTTTGGATCGAACAGAATCCAATGAGGCACCGCTAACCGCCCAGTGAACAGGGGATGACTCGTTGGCTGTTGATGGCCGTTGGGTGAGGCTGTTGGGTCAAAAAACCAGGTCTGATAGTTGTTAAACTATTGGTTAATCCCATGATTTTCCAAAGCTGGGTGATTCTAGATAGATATTATCAAACTATACCAATGGCTGGTGAAACTAGTAATAAATATATCGTGGGAGCCATTGGTATTGGGGCTCCAGTAACTAGGCTTTATATGATGATAGCTATATCTACTGGTCGGTGGTTTGGAATATATTGGGAATTTCATCATCCCAACTGACGAACTCCATCATTTTTCAGAGGGGTTGAAACCACCAACCAGAAGTGGGAAGCAGCCATTGGTAATCCCATGATTTTCCATCCAAAGTCATGAATTCATTGTTGGGAACAACCGGAACCTTCCGCCTACCAAAGGTTCCTGATTTCCACATTATAGAAACACATTCGAAAACAAACTAGATATGTCTTGCTCGCGGCAATTGAAACCAATCTTATAGTAGTTCATAAACCCATCTTGTTTTGTATTTCGTGGTAGATTTTCAACATGTTTCAACTTTGTGTAGCAAAAAGGCCTTGTTTTTTTTGCGGCATCCTTTGGTAGAAATATTTAATTTGGGTCCCAAGACCTTGAGAGAGTTAAAATTGGGGCCCTATCAGATAGTGATATGTAATACATGATATGAAATGTGTATAACTGAGATAGTGGTATGCAATATGATAGTGGTATGCTATATATAATGACAATGGTAATATGTAATAGAATGATAGTGGTATGTAATATGTAATGTGATAATGATATAATATGATATTGGTATGTAATATGACTGTAAATGAATATATATATATATATATATGTATGCACATCTACAATGTATATACATGCAACATAGATATGTTTTCACTTCATTGATATTGAATAACATCAATTTAACATGTTCGATACAGTGCATCGACGGCGCGTCATTTCAACATTTCAATCCATCCTCTTGTGGCATTCATGCACACGTTGTACACTTATACCATGTATGTTCATGGTATACTCTGATGTCATTTTATTGGCACCGCACAAACATTGAAGATGACAGATGACTTAAGACAATCACACAAAGATATGTTTCTGAACTTAGAAGTGGGATACGAGATGGGTTTAAAGCCAGTACAGACTAGTATCAACCATGAATATCATCAACTCAGGAAACACAGTGACAGCTACTCAATGATTGGACTTGAAAAGAGTTCTAGTTATAAGAACGAGTGAAACATCAAGGAAAACCACGGATAAACATGACCAAACATTGGACAAAGTAGAAGGACATCATCGCCACTGATGCTTCGTAATTCTCGAAGGAGATCATCAAAGAAGAACTTATGTTTGGTTTGGTACCCTCTGGTTATTTAACATAGCCATGGAAGCCATGGCCCATAGAAATAGATGGTTTACCTAGTAATAGCATGGTGGATCTTTCCATGGCTAACTGTTAGTCATAACCATGGAAGCCATGGCCCATTTATAGATGGTTTACCCATTAAACATGGTGATTTTCCATGGCTATGTTGAATAACCAGATGGTAATTCTTGTACTGATAATTTCCCCAGATCCATCCGAATTATCAATGGGAATTTCAGGATCCTAAATTGGAGGTACCTGCCATATATAAGGCCTATGTAAGGCCTATGTAAGGGAATATCCCCTCAAAATATGGCCTTATATGGTACAGTACCTCCATTTTAGGATCCTGAAATTCCCATTGAAATTACCTCATCCACAGACTTCCCAATGGGTCAACAGTGGTCAACGCCGCGGCGAGGCTTCGCAGCAATTTGACGCTTCTGGGCGCCACAGATGTGCGCGAGCAGGGCAGCATCGCAGGTGAGCTTTTCGGGGTGTTGGAATGCTCGGAATGCGCAGGGATCTTTACCTGAAAATATGAAAAAAAACCTCTCTTGAACTAACATAGATATATGGAAAACCATGGGAAACCAATCATGTGTAGATCTTTTTGCATGGGAAACCATATGAGTTTTCGACATCTATGATCTATGCAACAGTTTACTCCAGTGTGGAATGACGCCCATCCCCAACAACTCATGTTGTATTCATGAGCGTTAAGGGGCGTGTTGGGGGGCTGATCTCGCCAACTGTGATCGCTTAGCCAGATGATGAGCTTTCAACAGCAAAAACGGGTCAAAAACGGGACAAAAACAGCAAGACATTTTTGGGGCTTGTCGCTTTGTCAAAACCTTGGGAGATCTTCGTGTTGTGCCCATGGTAGTTTCATGACCTTTGATGGGGCGACTCATGTGATTTTTTTCCAGCTCCTTTTCCTGGTAGTTTTAATGGCGTTCAATGGAAAGATCCACCATTGTTTTCTGGGGAAATCATCTATTTCTATGGGACATTGAGACATTGACATTGACATGCTAAATCACCATTTGATGCATGATATCCTACTGGCAAATAGTCATGCACCTGGCCATGCAAGATCCCCAAGTACTAGTAGAAGAGGAGCATGTAAAACTAATCTTGGATTACAAGAGGATATCCCCAAATACAAGGTTCGTGATCCAATTGGTTGTAGCTATACACTAGCTTTTTCATCATGCGAATGTGTTTACTCCACTTGTAACAGCGGATCAACAATCCTCGATACGTGTGGTGTTTGATAATATTTGATCACGTTGACAAACAGGTGGAGGCCCTACAACGTTTGATAATCTTTGATCATTTGCACCACCTAAATCATAATTCGTGTCTGGTTGGTGGTTCCAATACGCTCTTCATCCTCATCTCAATGATTCAATGTGATATGGTCCCAATCATCATCCACCCAGCTGCGGATTGTTTGCAAAAAAATCTTCCATCGTCCATTTGTCTTACCCTCTGGTAAACTAACATAGCTATTGAAAATGGCCATTTATAGTGGATTTTCCCACGAAAAATGGTGATTTTCCATAGTTACGTTAGTTTACCAGAGGGAAGAGGACCCGAGAATTTTCACCGCACATTCATCCAGACGGGCCATGGTCTCCGTCTCCCGAGGTCCTATCGAGCTGAAGTATGCCGCGCAACTTCTACAGGCGTCCGGTCAAATCGAGGAATTTCGCTGGGAAAAGGCCACAAAAATTTGCCGAGCATCCACTTGGGGGCTCAAAACCTTGGGTCAAAATGGGTCAAATCTATGGGGATGGATCAATACCTATTAATACCATTTTTAGTGGAATGAACATCCATTTACCAGCTATTTTGATGTTCACCAGGGGTACAAGGTTTTGACACACTGCCATATGATGAATTATGATTGAATTATGTTTTCTTCGATGTTTTTGAAAAGTATAGCACTCTGTATGTGCAAAGATGTTGGAAACCTGGATGAAATTTATGGATGGGCAACCCTTAGAAGAATCCAATCTGCGAAAATGATAAAGGTCATTGGGGGTCCAGATATGTCTATCATTCATGTATGTATGGTGTTGATGAACTTACAGTATATAAGTAGTTGTGACTCTTTGTTTCACCACACTGTACCGAAACATGACTGCCTGGCTCTTCATTACGTTTTTGTGTTCGCAACTACTCAGGCAAAATTTGCTGGGGACAGTATAAGAAATGAAGGCTGAGTCATTTACTTAAAGAAAGCTAGTCCCTTTTCTGAAAGAGCAGACAAGATCAACTCCAGCAGTCATTAGGATATGGCTGGACATTTCTGAGCGATTTGTGGAACTTCAACTCATATTTACTCTCCCATGTTCCATTCCTTAAAAAATGAGATGATTCAACAATGGGATAATTCCAATTTTATATATTATATAGTTTATAGTGATAATATACGTACCATTTTGTATTTTGTACCATTACAAATGGATTTCATCCCCGAAACAAACTGGGATCGGGATCTGAACGCGCCAGGTGCTCAGGGGTCCAGGGGAACATGCTCTGAACACGGGTCCGCTGGGCCAAGTCGCTCGGATTTCGCCAAATCCTTGGGACTGGGGGATACAACCTGGTTATTCTGTAGCAACGAAAAAGGGCGATGGCTCAGAAACAAGCAGGAAAAGGGGGATATTTTGACTTCTTGGCTGGGTGTTTTTTTTTTTGTGTGTTCTGTCTCACCTGACCTATCCTGGAACAAAAATGACATCCGGAAGCGTCTTTGGCTGGGATGCCACCGAGGCGATACCTCTCAGTGCCTTGGCAGGCAAACAAAACCTTTTTGGGAAAAGACGACTGAAAAACAATTTTTGAAACCAAGAAACAAAAGGGATTGAATCGGATTCATAGGTGATGTATGATAAAACGTTTGGGTTTATGTGTGGGACAACGAAGTAGTGAATGGGTTTATAAACATTTATTATACCAACTTACAACTTACTGGTCACACCGTGTATCTAAGGTTAGCCATGTCAAATAATAAAACATGATGACATGACATAAATGATATCTTTTGATAAATGATGGGGTTCATGGTTGATGAGCATTAATTACAGTAGCTGTGCGCATAGCTAGTGATTTTTCGGATGATGCAACCACGATGGGAATCCTGGCCTCAGCATTTTTAAAAAGGGATGACAGGTTAGAACAGTGCTCAATCGATACTTTGCTTCGTCCCCAACATACAAAGATGCTTTTCAGAGGGTTGGCTCAATGACCATCCAGTGCTACAATGCTTCATATTGAAGGCTTCAACGGTTGCGATTGTAGTAGGGATGTTCGGGTGCCATCGAGATGCATTGCAGCACCGCAGCACCAAAGAATATGATGACCATATGACCGATGACCCACGGATCATAGTGTTTTTTGCATGTTTTTTTTGTTTGGTTGGAAGAAGACTTGTCCAGAGGGCACTCTCTGGCAGATCAAAGAAGGGATAATTCAGTGGTAAACTAACATAACTATGGAAAATCACCATGTTCAACGGGAAAATCCACTATTTCTATGGCCATTTTCAATAGCTATGTAACAAATTACCAGAGGGTAATTCAGTGGCTTATTTCATGGGATCGTTCCCCGGTGGATCGTTCCTTCGCCCGCGGGATGGGACATGATGGGACCGGCCTATAAAATCAGGACACATCGACTCTGTATGTTTCTGGGTTGTTCAATCATGAAGCAGTGATATACACATATATATATATATTATATATGTATACTATATACATATATATATATATATTTATACTTACATATTGTCAAATTACACCACCACGATATATCCCATCATTGAATCATACGGAGTCCGCAAATTTGGGCAACTCTCCACCTTTCAGGTTCCAACTCCACCTTCTCTTTGAAGAACACGGAGGTCAACATCTCGAAAGGTGCCACGGCGCTGCAGCCCTTACATGTCCCAACTTTATCTGTATAATGTGGGAAACCCAATGCACATCCTACTAAAATTTGGCGATGCTTAACAATGGTGAACAAACAATCCATAAACATGATGATGACTTGGGGATGATTGATGGCATTGAGTTTGCCACAATAGTTTGATGATCTTCGATACGTTTTGATACATCATTGATACTGTAACCTTTTGCCGACAATTTTGGAATATGGCAATGTTATACATTAATGTAAATACTAACCAGCCAAACAAAATGCTTGGTATCTGAGAGTGGCACAAGCATCTCACACTTGCTGCTGACTTGGATACAATTATTGATATGATTGACACTTGTAGTGGGGGTAGGTTCTTGAAAGATCTTGAAAGGGTATAATGTTGTCTGACCAATAGGGATATCTTGTCAATAGTAGAAAACTTTTTTCCGCAACTCCAGTTTTATCTCCAATACTAAAAGTCAATTAGCTCCATTTACTTTTAGTATTGCCAAACGAGTCATGTTCAGACCTTGTCCAGAGGGCATGGCCAATAGTGGACCCAACATGGCAATAGTAGAAACTTTTTTCCCAACTCCAGTTTTTTCTCCAATACTAAAAGTCAATTAGCCTAATTTAATTTTAGTATTGCCAAAAAACCTCATGTTCTGACCTTGTCCAGAGGGCATGGTATAGTATCCAGAGCTTAGATTCTAGAAATCTGATCCAATTCCCAAACAGCTGATTTCCTTCTAAAACCCTTATTTAAAAAAACAAGAAAACAGGTCCACAAAGGGTATCCCCTTTACAAGCCCCAGAATAGCAATAATAAACCTGCACCAGGCATGGCAATAATGAATTCCAATTGTGCTTCCCCTGGTTTTGTTTTCAGGTGTTTGGAGAAAGCAAAGTAAAGCAAAACCCTTTTCAAAGCAGCAAGCACTTTTCATTAACAAAAGCTTAGATTCCAGAAATATGATCCAAATTTACTATTGGAATGCTGACCCACCCCTAAAAAAAAAATCAAAATTATTTTATTTAGGGGGGATTTACTGTACTATTGTGCAGCCAACATTAGTAACCATCAAAACCATCGTTCTCGACCCCAACACTGTTTGCACTGCACTGGTAAGCTTCAAAAGACCCAACACTGGGCCAATGGAAGGAAATGTCAAATGTTTAGAACTATTGGGAGTCAACTTCAACGACTGTCCGTAAATTGAGGGTCGAAATGTAGATGTAGTAGGAATATTATAATCAGTGATGGATAGTCAGGGTTACGTGGTGAACACGCCAAATTGTGAAATTCCAAGCGCGTTCCAGCTCCGAACATTGAACTTTAATAGAACAAGTGGAATATGTGCTTCCGCATTTCTTGTATAGCCAATATCCCAAGTTATGTTGGTGCAATCACCAATTGCGAGGATTTGGTTATTCCATGTTATTCCAGAACTCGCTAAAACAGTATCCCAATCGCTATTCAATATATATATATTTATATTTATTTGATCTAGCGATTTCTGAAACTCAAATGACCAGTGATTTCGGATGGACATCGGAAGCTGAAATCATCACAATCTCGTGGGCTTCCAGGTTGGAAAACAACAATGAAAACAAGACACAACACGTATATAGAATACATACATATATCGCACACTGTATTATGTCATAGAGTCATACCTATACATAGACTGTATATATATATATATACATATATATATATATATGTATATATATATACATATATATATATACATAAATATACATATATATATATATACACATATATATATATATGTATACATATATATATATACATATATAAATATATATGTATACATATATATATATATATATACATATATATATATACACACATATATATATGTATATATATATATACATGCATATATATATACATATATATATATATATAAACAAATATATATTGAACTTTCACAGCATTTAATCACCCAAATTCCGTCAGCGTCGCCGCAGACGGCCTCTTTTTCTTCTCCGACGTGGCGGTGCGTTTTGGTCAGGAGGTACACCAGCTGCTCTCGAGGTGAGAGCCAGCAGTGGGTATAGCCCAGTTGTAGCCATTGTCAATAGGGAAAATCAGGAAGCAGTGGATAGAATGGGGTATCATATTTTTTCGACCCAGATGGTGGTTGTAGGATGTTCAAGGTCTGAATGATTACAGTAATGATTACAGTATAGTTGAATTGTGATGAGTTTATCTACAGCATTGAGAGTTTTTTGGAATTGAGCGCTTTATAGGTTGAAATTTCTGATGTTGTATGTATGCGATCAGTCAGAGTGTTTGTTTTAAGGGAACAAAATACAGAAAACCCCTATATAGGGGAGCTGTACAAACCATGGTTTCCTATCAATTTTTGCCTTAGACTAATCTATTGCAAGGACATATGAAGAAAATGGATCGGTCCCGCGTTCAATGCGACCCTTAAATGCGTAGATTCCAATACGGGAAAAATCAGGTGTTCTGGTTTCTGGTGTTCGGTGTCTACAACGAATCTGGACCCGGGAGCCGTAACAAGGACAGCAACCAGTTGCGTTTCGCAGTTGTCTTAATCTTCTCCCAATGCTGCAGGTTATATTCCCAATAATTCCAGGACAATCAATAAGGACCAAATAAAAAGACGCATCATGACGCATCCAATTTGTTAAAAAAACACTCCTACTATAGATATACATTACATATAGACAAATCTAGAATAGATCACTTGTTACTCGTTTGTTCTACCCTTTTTATTGGGGGTGTAATCACCAAATTTTCGCTGCCCGCACCGCTTCCCCGGCCCTGCAGGCAGTTCTCGCCGGCGAAGGGCGATCAATGAACGGATCTTCCAGAAAGATTGGACAGATAGGGATGCCCCACGAAAAAAAAGCCTGGTTACTAAAGTTACACAATCCCATTCATATTATTTCATATTATCATAGATTATCCGAATTTACAGATGGCAACTCACAGCTTTGCTTTTTGGCTAATCGGCATTAATCTGCCAATCATTCAGATTTGTCTTATTGCTCCTCCGCTCTTAGCAAGTCTTCCCAGCATGTCATCCTGGTTTCCAAGCACTGCCAAGTGATATATACTATATAGTTATATACTCCCCATTTCGCAACAGCCTTGTCCCCGTCTCACCTGCCGGTGGCTGAATGGAGGGGTAAACCCCATTGAACAACGACTAGATAGTTGATAAACAGAGAACAAATCTCAACCGCTTTAAGAACTTATACAGATAGTTTAAAGTAAACAAATAAGAGTATGTACCCAATTTCAACTGATTCCTCTATTTCCCAACCTGCCAGATGAGGGTCTCGGGATTTATCAAAGGAGCAACTCCTTCACTCCTTCACTCCTTCGCTCCCACCTCCCTCACTCAGACCTCCTTCTGCCAGCTTGTCGTCACTGTGGGCACCAAGGGCCTTGGATCTCACCGTAATTAAGTGCCAGCTCAAGTCGAGCACTCTTGCTCCAGCTCAGTCTGGGCACGCACGGACCCGAGCCCTATGGTGTGCTCCAGATCAGTCTGGGCACTTACGGACCCGAACACATGACAAAAAGGATGGCAGATAGATAGAATGTCAGAATAGATGCCAGATAGATAGGATGCCAGAGAGAATGTCAGAATAGATGCCAGAATAGATGCCAGATGGAATGACAGAATAGATGCCAAACAGAACGTCAAGTAGAATGCCAAATGGAATGCAAATGCCAGATAGAATGCCAAAACACAATGTCAGAACGAGTATCTGAGTACATGACAGGAAGAAAGCCAGATAGAATGCCAAATAGAATGTCAGGGTAACTGCCAGGTAGGACCCCAGAAAGAATGGCGGACAAAAATGCCAGAAAGGATGTAGGATAGAATGTCGGAATAGATGCCACAAAAAAATACAAAAAATGTCAGAGTGTATACCAGAAAGAGTGTAACATCTAACGTCAAAAAAATATGCCACAAATACTTCAAGATTATATGTCAGAAACTATGTCAAAATGATTTGTCAGGGCGGGGATCGCTCGAAGTAAGACGTATCAGTTGTACATCCCAGCGGGACCTCTGTAAAGATTTGGAAGATCCCCGCGTGTGAAAGATGCCCGGTTACTGAACTTTCCGGCGCGCCTAAAGCTGAGATGGGCTCTGAGATACCACTTGGAAAACTCAGCGAGAAAAACTGGGTGTTCCATTTGGATCATTGCAGGTTCTGAAAGACCATGACCTATACTACAACGTGCCACAAGCCATGGGTCTATCCGAGGATTTATACAGCAAGCCGCAGTTCTGATTGTTTTAGGGATTCAGAAGCCAATTTTGGGTACCCAATGCTGACCTACGGTGACCTATGCTGACCTGTTCCTGTCAAATATGTTTGGGTTCACATTATATCCGATATCCTTTGGTCCTTTAGATGCGTGTGTTGAAGTACAATTGAAGTGAAGCATGAATGAAACGGAGGACAGTGGCATGGGTAAAAACAGTACACACTTCACAACTTCACACAGTACATTACAACCCCAACAATGCCCCAGTTCCACACAGCGATCTTATCTAATCATCTCAGGATACCCACTGGGAGGTCGCGAAAAAATGGCAATGCTAAGTACAATCACAATGGGATTGATCATAGACCTAGCAACTTCAGAAACGCCAAGGTTTTCCGTAACAAGTGGCAACCAGATCTCAGTTGCGCGCCCCTGCACCTAATTCAGTCTCCGCCACAGATGCACCCAGGGCTTATGTCAGCATTTTTCGACTCACTGCTGCTTGGGAGCACGTGGAAGTCAAACAGACTAGCGATTTTTGGCACTGATACTGTCATTGTCATCTGCCGTTCAGTTTCCATGTATCAGCTGCTTTTTGGCCGAATCCAAAATCCAGCAGAAATCAATAAACGGTTAGCTCGCACCATGTTCAAACGATGCCTCCCCTTTAAAACACGTGCATATTATATCCCAACATATTCCAACTATTACACTCACATGGCTCCACATATGTGGAAGATGCTACCGTGAAGCATTGAAAGCCGCTGTAGCAGATGAACCATGCCCGCGAACCCCGAACCTGTTCGTTGTTTGGAATCATGACTAGACAGGTACACACCACATCCCACCAAGAATGATACTTTCAGCCTGGGGTTTGGGTATCCATCATGGGTCAGGGGAATGCTGTTGTGGTTGGGCTGTTCTCTTGAAGCTGACCAAGGTATAACCAACGTCCTCTTGGTGGAGATAGAGGGCCGGTTTGGGAGAGCAACGTACCATCATTTTCTTTTTGGTTTCTGTGAATCATTGGCATTCCAACCACACCCCGAAAAGGACCTGTTTCTGATCCCCCGTATTCCCCCATATAATCAGGGTTGATTGAGGGCTTATCAAATCACCAATAGGGTCACCTCTTGTCGCCTTTGGGGGGGTTCGTTGAATCCCAATGAGTATAGGACTATTTGGCATCCTACATTTGTAAGTCCTTGGTAGACTCTTTGGCATTGGGGGACCTGAGTTTGTACAGGCACAGTCGCAAGGGGGTCCAACAGTTTGGTGAGTTGGTTTTGAACTAGACCAACTAGGATTTATGATGGATATATTGACAATTATTGACATAGATCGTTGACATTTTGATGATGCTTGATGGGTTCATAAATGTTCACAACACAAATTGAAAACTGGGGGGCCCCTATTTTGCGTTGGATCCACTCAATAGAAGGCATCCAGACCCTTCGGGGATAGGCGGTTTGTCGAACAGCACCAGCCACAACGGCTGGCAACTGCCGTGACCCCGATGAAGGGATGTGCATGCGACACGACTTGGTGAGTGTTCGAGTTGATTCGAAGTTGCAAGAAGTGGGACACTTGTCAAGGTTGAAATCATCAACAATATGAATTAATATATATATATATATATATATGTACGTACACATATCCACATCCACATCTAGGGGCATGATATACCTTCATGTTTTTATCATGGTGCCCACAAGATTCAAAACTCAAGCTGAACTGGCCATCTACAGCTATACGTATTGCTAGTTTATACCCTTGTGGGAGGAAACTTTGAGGTGCGATGGGAGTTTGACGGAGAATTGCACCAACAAATTTAAATCCCGGGTTTTGGTTGATATTCTTCAAACAAAGTAATAGAGCTATGGAACATCTGCACCTGGATGGCACAATCAACTACAAATGGGCCCTATTTTCTTGCATTTTCAGAGGGTAATCCCATACATCCAGATGCTCGAAAAACCGGAAGACAATGGTGATTTCCAAGACACCCTTATTATCTTATTGATCCAACATATTCCATGGGATTTTTTCATTGATTCAACAGGTAAATCACTCTACACAGTATCTATTGTACAAATGATGGTGTGTGATCAGTTGCTGCGGTGGTTTACGAGAGGGTAGACACCAATATGGTTCATCGATAAAAAATTACTTTACTTCGTGTGATCCCCACCATGACATTTATACATTTTCTTACTGGCAAATCTTCTGGCATTCTATCTGACATATCTTCTGACATTCTATTTGGCATTCTATCTGGCATATCTTCTGGCATATGATCTGGCATATCTTCTGGCATATCTTCTGGCATTCTATCTGGCAAATTTTCTGGCATTCTATCTGGCATATCTTCTGGCATTCTATCTGACATATCTTCTGGCATTCTATCTGGCATTCTATCTGGCATATCTTCTGGCATATATTCTGACATATCTTCTGGCATTCTATCTGGCATTCTATCTGGCATTCTATCTGGCATATCTTCTGGAATATCTTCTGGCATATCTTCTGGCATTCTATCTGGCATTCTATCTGGCATTCTATCTGGCATATCTTCTGGCATTCTATCTGACATATCTTCTGACATTCTATTTGGCATTCTATCTGGCATATCTTCTGGCATTCTATCTGGCAAATCTTCTGGCATTCTATCTGGCATATCTTCTGGCATTCTATCTGACATATCTTATGGCATTCTATCTGGCATATCTTCTGGCATATATTCTGACATATCTTCTGGCATCGGCATTCTCTACTTCTTTTTCTTCTGCATTCTTTGTCCATATCTTCCTACATGAGGTCCGCAGGGAACACTTGGCGTGGATACTCGCGTTGAGGTCGCAGGGAACACTGGGCGTGGATGGTCGCGGTTGAGGTCCGGCAGAGGTCCGGCAGGGAACACTGGGCGCGGATGGTCGTGGTTGAGGTCCGGCAGGGAACACTGGGCGCGGATGGTCGTGGTTGAGGTCCGGCAGGGAACACTGGGCGTGGATGGTCGTGGTTGAGGTCCGGCAGGGAACACTGGGCGTGGGTGGTCGTGGTTGAGGTCCGGCAAAGAACACTGTGGATCGCGGGTCGCAGTTGAGCAAGGACGACAAGGATAACAAGGAGGACGAGGAGGAGGAGGACGAGGCAGGAGGAGGCGGAGGAGGAGGAGGAGGAGGAGCAGGAGGAGGAGGAGCAGGAGGAGCAGGAGGAGGAGGAGGAGGCAACTGACATAAAATCTAACAACCCTCACCTGGCAGGTGGGGAACAAGTATATTTCTACCTCTATCTGTGATGTTGCTACCCAATAAGTTAAAACGTTACACATATTCACATATTCTTCCGGAGGGTTGAAACCAGCTAGAATAGGGTTACTGTAACAAGTGTAACTCTTGTGGGGCATTGTCATGAATTACAAGGGAAGACAATAAAAGCACTAGGAGCAACACATGTTTTTTTCAAACCCTCGGAACGCGCATGCGTTGAAGAGAAAACGCCACGTCGCTGACGTCACCTTTTTTGGCTGGGGGACGTCCCCTCACCGCGGAAGGCTGTGAGAGTTGGCGAGGCAAAACATGGCGATGCGGCGCAGTGGCTGCGTGGGAGTTGTGGCTACGTGGTGCAGTTGGG